TCTATGATGAGCAAGTGAAGGTGCAAAACTGCAGCATGCTTTTAATATGGTAAATTCGTGCTGGATAGCTAAATGTGCTTGACGTGATTGGATGAATCAAACAGTAAGTTTAGCCATTGCCGAGACTTTAGATCTAATGTTTTTCTATAACAAGAAAAAATGTGTGAAGTTAAAATCGGCAGGCTGAAAAAAATTCTTGCTTTTTTCCTACGGCGCCTTTGAAAGAAAAGAACGGGAAAATAATCTGTGCAAAAACCAAGTTTTATGAAGATGAGTTAAAGACTATTTCAGAATCACTTAAGTCACTTTGCCAAGGCTCCAAGCTAGGTAGCACACCCGAAAATTATGACTACAACCAAGTACACTGGCCATTTGTAGTAATTATAAACAAATAGTGTTACATGAATGGACGAACCAAATTACCAGCACTTTATAACCTCTGTAGTGAAGAAATGGGATTGAGGAAATAACTAGTTCTTTTTGTGTCCACTCAGCGCCAAACTTTTTGCTGTAGAAAGTAAGGAGCAAAATTAAACCAAAGCTTTAATGGGCTGCACAATGTTCTACTCAGCTACAACTTCTAGACCATATTAGATGGCAAGAAAGGACATTCAAAATGCTAAACAACTGAAAAATTAAAATAGAGGAAAAACATTTGATGCAAGCGAGGAACTGTGCAGTTTTTGACCAAACAGCATTCAGTTAACGACGGCATAAGGCCACAAATCGGGGAAAAGTGAAAGTTCATAAACCAAAATCCCATTTTGCAGATTTTTATGATAGTTGATGGACAGAGGGGAGCAGGAGAACAGCAGAGAAAGAAGAGCAGAAAGGACTGAAGAGATGTGGAATTCTGCGACATTGTCTTATCCGAATCTCGGGATGCAGCCGCCATTTGCACTTTTCCTTAAAATTTAAAAAACACAGAAAATACCATTGCTATTAGCAGCTCTCGGAAAGCGATAACGCTTTTTTCATCAGACACATTTGCTGGAGCAGGACTGTAGAGCCACTACGGCAAAAGCAATATGAACCTAGCAAAACAAAGAAAATCGTACTTTATTCCGTAGACTTTATTACTAAATCACTGTCATTATCATCATTATTTTTATTTTGCTGAATAAATAAAATGCAGACTTTTTTAAAGTAAAAGAATGGGGAAGCTGTTGCATAAATCGATAGAAGAATGGAATAACACAGTAAAATGCCACTTGAGCAGAAAAATTATGATATAAATTTTATCGACGTCTAAGCAACCAGTTTCGAATTTCAAACCGACTATGAATGTTAGAAAAGGAACCTTTCGTCCAAGGGAAAGAAGAGTGACGCATACGGAGAACAGGTCGCGACCTTCGAACAGATCCACAGACTGGAAAGTCTCCTCGGTGGGGACACCAATCTTCTTGGCCCAGTTTACGAACGAATTAATATTTTCCATGCAAGCGAAATTGGAAATCGGCTTCTGCACTTTCTTTATTGCATTAGGTTCGATTGCATTCGCCAATCTGAAACATTGCTTACTGTTTGGGGGTGCCGACTTGTCCACTGTTTGAGGTTTGAGGGAATCATAACCATAAAAGCAGGCTGGCTCCCCCAACTCCAGAAAAGGGTACAGTATCACTAAACTTCCTTTGTATTTGTTTTTTGTGAGAGGCAAAGGCACTTCGGAAGTTTTATGTTGTATTCTAACAATTTTGCATTTTACTGATCGATGACTTACTTGCAAAGCAAAGTGCCGTCTTTTAACAATTTTGCAAAGTTTTCGGGCGACCCATCTGTGCTGATGTTCTCTCCGCTCAACTTCTTGATCCACTCCAACAGTCCCTGCGCTTCCTGGTCATTGAATTTTGACGCTTGCTGAAATTTTGCAATGCAAATTAAGAATTTTCTTTCTTTAGGACAAAACTGCTCCTCGCTTAGCGAAATTCACTGTCACTTTCACAACAATGATAGGTGGTGAGGATGTGAATGAGCGAGAAGAATCCACAAGTTATTAAAATCGTCATTTCTATGTGAAATTACGAATGCGAAAACTTGTGAACCATCATATCATAACTGCTTGAAGGTCAAATTATATTTCAAGCTATAATTAGCAATAACTATACTTAGCAAGTTAAGAGACAGCTGTAGTCATTTTTTTTTTCGAAGTACATTGAGAACGACAGCATTCACCCTCACTTTGTTTTGGGATCATACCTCATATCATACAGCCCCATCGTGCAGTTACTGCCCTGCTAATTTGTATGTTTTTCCTTTGTGTTTTTACTTCTGCTGTAGAAGGCCATCGCCAAGTGCTATCAGTGTTAGTGCCTTTAGTGTCTTTGCAGTGAAAATTTCCTCAGTCACTGTGTATGAAATTTCATAATCATTATTTGGTAAGGCAAGTTTTTATTATTCTTGGGTACGGTAAATATTTTGTCAAAATATTCTGGTTGGAGCTAAATCTGCTGCATTTTTAAATACAAATCTACGTGGAATGGTGCAAGGGGAGGTAGTACTGTTGCGAAGCCAAAGGCTAAGAGTACATTTTCACGAATATTACAACCAATCCTTCTACGATTCGTTTCATTAGTAATCGGCAATGGTATATGCGCGAAACAAATCTGCCATCAACTTCGGTAAAGCAAGACATCAACAGCCTTGTCAGGTGGTGCTTGCTGTTGATACTTGCTACTACTCGAGCTGCTTCCCGAATGCATCTACATCTTTTAGAAAGCGAGTGTGAAAAGGGGGAGTTTTAACTTTTTTGACTGTTATGACAGTGCTATAGATTTATATCACACATTTGAAGATAATAGCTTGAGGTATTTATGTGGTTCTTCACAGCAAATATGTGTCAGAGATTCACATTTAACGTGATCAAATTTCGTCTTTTACGAATACCCAGCTGCAAATGTATACAAATTAAACCTGCTCTGCATATATTTTTCTCTACTTCGTAAAGTACCACTTCATGATTTAGGAATGGCAGCGCTCAGAATGGTAATGCTCTCAACCCAGAACTCGAAAATTCTAAAGCCTAGCTAAGCGCTTTTTCAGAAAGATTATT